TGTTACTCAAACTGATCAGGCACACTGAATAAGGTGAGGTATTCTTCTTTACATCAAAAAAGAATATACTTGAAACCAATGATAAAAAAATAAACCAATGCATCTAAGTATCCAATATACCCAAGTATGAATACAATTTTCTAATGTTGCTCAGTTCACTATTTAATGAGAACAATGCCAGTTTATACTGCAAGGATAAGGTTGAATTCTGGAGCAACAGGAGCGAAACGCCTTAAAGAGAACAACAGGAATTGTTCTTTACTAGAAGAACATTACTTTGGAAGTAATTTTACTGACTTAGAGAGCGGAGGAACCACTGTTTTTGATGGGTCAAAACAAAGTTAGGACTAATCAATGTCTCTAGTTCATACAGAATAACAGAAGTCAGCAAATTCTGCAAAATCCATATTACGATCATTTAAATTTTGAAAGATAAATTTCAAAATATGATTAGTACAAAGCACTAGTACCTTTTCATTCTCCTGAGTTCATAGGAGGTCAACTCCAGTCAGTTTAGTCCAAGAAGCAGGTGAATCATCTTAATACAATTCTGCAGTTTCAGAAGCACTATTTGGGCTCTTCTAAGGAAACAACCACAAGCTGTTTTAACTCTCATGCTGCATCCTTAAGAAACATACAGGCTTAAAAAAAATAAATTTAAAAAAAGCCATAGAAGCTATTCATATGGAAATTTAAAAAAAAGAAATAAGAAGGCATAAGAAGCCCCCCACTGAAAGAAGCATTACATGATCAGGTAAACCTCTTGCAGCAATCAGATGGCTGGTAACTACCATTGCAGCAACCAGCAAATTCAGCACGATTATGAAGAAATAAGAAGGTGGTTCTACTAGCAGCTAGGGAAGGATACTCAAATTCACATATGTGCATAAGCACAAGACACGCTAGGAATTTCAGTGACAAGACACCTTCCATAAATATCAGCAGCTCAACAGAAAAGGGTCCATACTTCCCACTGAATTCTCATCAACGGAAACCATTTGAACCTCATCTGGCTTAAATATGGCTAGTCAAATTTTGACAGTTTAGTTCCAGAAAAATGTTTTCTCCTGATAAGGTCAGCTCCTTACTAAACACATAAATGTTTCTACATGATGTAATCTACAAGACACTTCCCATTTCAGAAAACTTTAAAATGAAGTCAGTGCTCCAAGTTTTGGAAGCAAAAAGAAGTTTTCTTACTCTGGTTTTAAGCAACTTGCAAAGATAATTCTAATGACAATTTCAATAAAAACAAAGTTTGCATGTCAGCTGACGACAACCCAGGTATGGACAAATGGCCACATGAACCTGGAAGTCTGATGTTCCTCCACTGTTTTGGAAAATTAACACAGTGATCATCAGCTGTAATAAATTAGCTGTCTAATTTTCCCAGACTTTCTACATATTTGTTAACAGGCCCAAGGTAAATGGCACTTAAGCTTTTCTTGAGAAATTTTCCACTTTGAAATTTGTTTAGATCTCATATTTTTAGGTATCAGAATTGAGAAAATGAAGGTGCAGAGGAGACGACAAACAACCCCCTATGTGGAAACACAATAAAACAGAACCAAGGATGAGACCGAATGGAAATATTTGCTTATAAAGAAAGAGCAGATTAGCAGAGTCCAGTTTGAATATGCTCTCTTTGCCAACAGAAGCACTTCAATCTTTTGAGACACATTACTGCAGGAAGCTGAGATGATACAATTAAACATACTTTACAAAAAACTGCAGAAGAGGCACTGCAGAGGTCAACCAATTTTTGCACATAAATTGACTTTGAGAAGAAGAGTTTACAAAGCCTAAAAACAAACATGAACCAAGCTAAATACTTGGCTTTCCAAGAAAATGAAAACCAGCATTTAGATTTAAGATTTACAGGGCAGAGTACTTCAGCATGAAGCACTGAGGTGAGAAATGTGAGAACTGAGAGCATGAAAAGAACTCTGACTAGATGACTTTAACTGCAAATCAATACAGGCAAAGTGAATTTCTAGTTTTTAAATGGCACATTTGGGATCAAAGGAAAAAACCTACCTGTGGAAGTTATGGGCTTCTGGGCCACCATTAACTTTTATAGCACAGCAAATAAAAACATTAGAGAATAGTCAAAGTTTATCTTTCATTTGTGCTACAAATCACAAATGCGAGGAAGAAAGTCTCTCCCCTCCTAAGGTATTTAATACTCTGGAAAAAAGCAATTTAAAAAAAACCTACAACTATACATTTGTCAGTAGCAATGACAGCCAGCTTGCCTGTAAGTAACAAAGATTCTCTTCACAGGTCTAAGGACACAACCCAGAAAATAGTATAATGGACAGTCAGTGCTGTAATTTGATTAACATTAGGGATTTACAAAATAAGTTTTTATCTTCAGTATCAATTTAACACTTAAGAGAATGACTCACTGCAGTTTGCTTTGCAACTGTCACTTTTAAAGTGCTTTTCCAATGGGGATGTCTAACTAGTTTCAGGTATATTATCGGCTGCTAGTAACTAGAAGATCCGATTCTACAAGTATTCATTTTTATAGGTTTAAACAGTTAAGTCTCAAGAACTAGTGATATTGGTTTTACTCTATATTCAGTTTTAGTTTCCCAAAGAAATGGAGACATTACTTCTCTTCCAACTAATGTGAAGAGTAAACTAGTTTTCTGTTTTCACTGAATACTACTTACTAATCAAAAATAATTTCTTATTAATATGGAAAAGGAGAAGAAAAAATTCGAAAGGTATTTTGTTTTCTACTCCTTTCAAGAATGCTAAGGATGTCAGAAAACTAGACAGAAAACATACAGGACTGATTATTGCTGCTTAAAGATGTATAAGCAGTCTATCAACACTACCTTGTAACAGAGAACATTCAGATCCAAATACTCTCAAGTACAGCATGGTCTGAAACAGATAAATAACGTAAGCTTTTCACATAGCCTTACATCTTCACTGAATGTCAGAAATAAGGGGCTTTTTCTTTGATTTGTATTCAAACAGTTGTCTGTCCCAGCTCCTAGCAATCACTTTTGAACTCACTGACATTCAACCAAATCTGACAGAAAAGTAGTTTTTGGTCAAGGTGGTGTGCAGAGAAGGGGAGAGACATTGCTGCCTAACATCCCACTCAGGAAAAGCTTCAGTGGCTGTTCAAACAGTTTGGTTGGAACATTTGCAGATGCATAACACTGCTGTGGAGTTTCGCATGTTACATATACACAACTCAGGATCTGTGCCTGGGGATCTATCTGTGTTTGCAGGTATACAAGTCTCTAACCAAGGCCTTTTTAGAATCATCACTAACAGGAGTTACCACAGTTTATCTTATAACATAACATTTAAAAAAATATTTAAAATACTTCAAAAACCAATGCACAAGCAGTATGCATTAATAAAGATGGAGACAAATGAAAATATAATTGGATTTCCACTGAATAAACTAACAAAGAATCTAATTAATAGATGCTTTAAAACATATAAGCTTTCAATCTGTATATTTACAAATAATTACATAGCTTTTTAAAGATGTTATTTAAAAGTTATGGTATTTCTTGGACCAAAAAGACAGAGCTGCAGCCACAAACAAAATCTTGGCCAAAATTCCAAAACTCCTTATCTAAGTGCTTATAATAAGAAACGAGGACAGAAACAGTTCATCAGGTATCATGAATGCCTCAAAATAAAAATATTAGCTTTAACGTAATGGAAACCTTTAAATGCTCTAGCTTTGCTCTCTTCTTAAAGATGAATTAGGATTGTAAGCTTATGCTACTTCCCTTTGTTCAATTTTAAGAGCTTTGTGAATATCAACACTGTCTCTGTGACTGTAAGCAGGGCAGCAGTCTGGACTGTCAGAGGCTCCAGCCCAGTTTAGCTTCACCATTTTAATGAAGGCACAGGGCAGGAGGGAGGGAAGTGGAAAAAAAGGAGACGAAAATAAAGAAAAATAATATCTTCCAATAAAAAGCTATCTAAGTTTTCAAAGAGCAGCATCGTATTTTCCCAAAATATGAAAGTGCCATCATCGTACCTACTTTCTTGCAAACAGTTTTTTTCCTGGCTTGTTTTTAGCACTAAAAATACTAGTAGGTACGTTAATTTGGGACACTATCTTTTGTACCTGAACCTTAAAGGCAATTTTGCAGGTTTTACTTTCCTCCAAAGGTCCTAAAATATTACATGGCAGAAGGAAATCCATTCCTCAAAGTCAGTTCTGCATCTCTGACATGACAGTTACTGCAACCTCTGAAGAGACAGAGGAAAGAGATCTCAAGTTTAACTCAAGTTCTTGCCACAGTTTCTCTTTTACACCGCAGTGATGAGTCATCTTACCTATACTAGGAAATATTTTCAACACCTGAGTTTCAATGACATCTTTTGACTTCTGTATCTGATCCCTTGAGTATCACATCATGAAGGAAGCTATTTTTCCCCCCTGTCTGCTTTATGGCACTTACATCTTGTAATAACCTTTTGATCACTTTCACTCAGTCCCTGGACTAAGGGTGTTTGTGACACAGTGGATTCTTCCTTCATATTTTACGGGCAAATCCACCAACAAGGATTTGGTGAGCTTCCTTTCCATGTCATGTTGTGACTGATAATGTATGCTAACTAATGTACATTCCTATAGAACATAAGGCCTTTCAAGAGTCTACAGACTTAAACAGAAGTGAGAGAGGCCGAAAGAGATCTTCACCCAGGCAGAGTAAGATAAGGACTGAAGCATTGCATTAGAACCATCAGGGCAAACCACATTAAACTGCAGCAACACAAAATATGAGACTTAAGAGAAAAATAATTAAAGCACTGAAAAATAGCTGTATAGAGATTCTTGTAAAACCTTCTTGGAAGTCAAAAATAAATATTAAGTAGAAAAAAATAATAAAAATGACCAAACAGAGCAGTCAGTTCCTCCATTCCCCGAATATTTTCCAATCTGCTTGAAGAGCCCTGGTAGGAGCTTCATCTGTTTTTCATCTTCCTAACATTTTCATTCTTCTCTGACTTTAGTGCTCGATACCGTAAGTCAGAAATTTAAAAAAGGAGGAAGAACTTACTGGTATTGAGAACTCCTCTGCCAAATACTTCAACAGTGATGCTCCTCTAGCCAAGAAGTTACTTCTCTCTGTCAGGTTGCCTTGGAGTTTTGTATCAAACTCTTTTCTAACAACTGAAGCAACAGAGTCGATTATTATGAGCTTAACTTTCTTTGAAATTATTTCTTCTTCCAAAGACTTAATCCTATAAAAAAAGTAACAATGTTAGTCACATATTGTGTTTTATAATCTTGAAATTGTTTAAATAAAAGGTATATTTTAACAAGCTAAGCTAATTTCTTTCTCTTTCACACCACTCCAACATCATCTGAATGCTTTGGAGAGATCTGGAAAGGAATCTCAGGTTGCAAAGGGACCCACAAACTAGGGCAGGACCCCTCTGAAAGAGGGATTTGGAAGAATATGTAGTTGAGCAATGCTATACTGTACAACCTCTGAACAGTGCAGAGAACTTAAGCAGACGCTGAAACTGTGCCTTTTTGCTCACAGTAGCAGCATCCCTTTGCCAACATCAGAATCCTTGTCATCTATATGTGCAGAAAGTCAAATAACTTTCTATATACTTTCAAATAGAATATGCTAAACCTAATCTGTTGATAATATGCTAACAGCTATTCTTTTCTGATAAAACTGCACTAGAAAAAGAAACAGGTATCCTGTCACTAGTGTAGAATGCTCACAAAGATGCTGAATTACAAATTAATCTACTCTCATGTCAATGTGTATTCACAAATTAACATAAAACAACAATACAATGCTGCCAGCAGTCTTCAGACTTAAGACTGCAAATAATCCTCCCCCCCCACTGCTGGAGGGGTCTCAGTCTTCCTGCTCTGGAGGAAGAGTAACTCCTTTCCATTTCTTGGCAAATTTAACTCTTATAGTATAGTCTCACTACAGAAATCAAGATGGGTCAAGTCAAGCACCTGTCAGATGAACACTCCTCTTAAAGGCTTACACAGGTCAGATCATATGGAAGATGTCCATCAGAAATTATAAAATATCAAGTGCATGGGTCACGCACAATGAAATAAGAAATCACTTCGTAAACTTTACAAATAAAGAGCAACGTCGGTCTTTTTGTACCAATTTTACTTTGTCAGGACTGTTTTGGTATCAACATGAAAAGGGCTCAAAGAAATTACTCTTCATGAAGCTTTGGAATCAAACAAATACTGTTATAGAAAATACAATCAAAATGGTGTCTCTTTGTGAGGTCCATAAGAATACCTTTTCAGTACACTGCCACAGGTCAGCTCTCGATACAGGTAAATGTTACGGGTCATGGAAAATAGCTTTTCATTTGAGTCAAAATAAGCAGGGAATCTGTTTCCTGCTACCTCAATCAATCTATCGAAAACAAAAGACAAAACAGTGAAAAAGCAATAGGCATGTAGGGTAATAATAAGACATCAAGGATTTACAATACAAAGTAAAGTAAACCTCTGAAGGATAAGTAGATACTAAGTAATACTGGAAATTTTTTTCAAAGGTAAAGCATACTTCAGCAGTCAAACCAAAATACTGGAAGTTAGAACACTTAGGTTCTCTTCCCAGTGATGCTAGAGTCAATGGTAAACTTAGGCAAGACATAACATGCCTGTACACAGCGCTCTAGTAGAAGGAAGCTGCAAAGTTTACAGTTAGTGAATGCAAAGTTCTTTTTTAGTTTTGCACAAGATGCTCTATGCAATTGCCAAATATTCTCCTATTTTAATTATATTTGACTAATTAATTTTTTCATTTAAACAAGTACTCTACAACCCAAATCTTCCTTTCCACCTTTATCTTGCATTGAGATCATAAAGCAGACTGTCACAGAAGTTTGACAACAAGCTGATAACAGAAAATTATGACCTCTATGACAAGATCCAGCCAACATGAAAGCAGGACTGTAAAGAGCTCAATTCAACTGTGAATACTTATAGAAGTATGTATGCAAAGAACACGTGCCAAGGTGAAAACGTTTTCACAGAAAATGTCTCCTCAAAAACAAGAGCAACATCATTTAGATGGGAAACATCTGCACTAAGACTGTTTTCATTGTGCCAGTTACCTCTCTGTAAAAAGGGCTTAGAGAAATCTTAAGAAAATGTAATTTTTAGACCTTAGCATTGTCTCAGAAAAGGTGACTAAGGCTACCTATTGCTAGCTGCCAGGTGGCAGAACATCGATTCCATCAGACAGGACAGGTACAATTGACATGATATAATGATATACAACTACAGAGTTTAAGGGGCAGCTTCATCGATAGATTTGAACAAGTTATTTCCTGCCTGAATATTCTCCATTACCTTATTAGCAAATTCACGACCCTTCAAAACCTCAAATAAACAGTGGTATGTTTAACCATTGTAATTACCGTTGTAGATTAAGTTTACCAAATAACTGGTGATTAACACCAAAAAGAGTCAAAGGAGGTTGGATATTTATCATTTATTGTCAAGTACTCTTATATTCAGAAACTAGGCTTTGAAAAGACTCATATAGATGTAAAACTAAACAATTTACTGATGAGGGGCTAATATTTGCAACGAATCTGCATGTATAAAATCACTGAGGGCACAAAATGACACACATTTTACTGACTGCCTGCAAATTCTCCTGAAGTCAGTGGAAAGAATTTTCATACCTCTGAACACATGGTAATTTTTTCTAGGTCCTTAAATATGGATCCAAGAATTGAACTTCAGAAACTCATACTTGCAAAAAGTATTTACTGTGCTCAGATTTGTAATGAAGACTATTTTTAGGAACAGAAATAGAAAATATTTATCTTTTTCCTATTTTAACTATACTTATCCCACACCCTATCAGCTTGGGAAGAGTGACTTCTAGTGGATGATACCAGTAGACACAACAAGATCACAACTGGTGATCTTAATCCTTTTTATTTAAGCCTCTGATTAAAACCCAAACCGTTAAAGCTATTTAAAAAGACTATTCTAGATCATTTTTGTTTGGTTTAAAAATAGAGACATCGAACTTGAATATTCATATGCCTATCCTGAGTAAGAAATTTAGCCAGTAATTGTAGAAATTACAATAGCCTCTATTTCATTCCTTTACATATATTATTCATAACATCCAAACTTGCTCTGAAGAACATGCAGGGCCAGAATCTTGGCTCTGCTTTCGCACAGTAAGCCATGCAGCCCATTTTGGATTCTGCACGTGGTTAAGTAATCTTTATGTTATTCAATTGTCTACATGAAATGCGACTTCAGTACACTTCCAATGAGCATATCGCGAAGAACACTACTACACAAATTGGCTTAAAATGACCTACTTACTGAAACCTTGCTAAGATCACAGTATTATTTGCACAGCACCATGCAGGTTCAAAGTTTTTAAGATCTAAATCCTATTTGAACTCAAACACTGCACAGAACGTAAGTGATGTTCTCTAATCAGGGCAGGCCCATGATGCAGAACATTCTCAGCTTTGGTTTACAGAAATTTGTATCAGTGCTTTTCATAAGCAATAAATACAGCTAAAGAGTAAACAGACAAAATTACTTTCAGACTTCCTGAACAGATTTGGTATGTTTTCAGTTAACAGCTGTCCAGATTTGAGTTGAACTGCTATAAAACCAGTGACGATAATTTTGATTTCCAGGATTATCATGGATAGTCCATCTACCTGTCCTGGTGTCCACATGCTGATGAAGCTGAATAATGGACACCCTCTGCACTGTTACAGTTCTTCTACTGCATGTCAGAAAAATATATACAATACAGCAAACAGTGGCATATCTTAGGAGACCAGCCTCAATTCCGATCCCTCTTCTCAGCATCACTATTAGATTGAACTAAAAATGCCACGTTAGCGAATAAGTATTAGAGTGTCAAAGTCTGTGGAAGCAAAAAGCTCCCTGCCCTGAACTAAGCCTATTAGGCAGAACAAAAAAGAAACATCTGTGAGCAAAAGAAAAAAAACTAGCCATGTTTATTGCAGTATTTTTCTTGACGCATCATGGCATTACAGCTAGTAATGACAGCTACAATTAAGCATGCATTTCTCTTGACTCTAAAAGACAGCAGGGATATTCTTACATTCTTGGGCTTTCTGACAGGAAGCTTTCTGTTCTAAAGAAAAACACTGCCAGGTAAATCTCTCCATTTGTCCCTTTAAAATAAGCTGCAACTCAATGAATATTTATTCTCTTATCTCTCAAGTGTTTAGAGCAGGAAAAAAATTATCTTTTAACTGCAATCTGTCAGTAATACAGGACTATAGAATCATAGGAAAATTCAGGTTAGAAGGGAGCTCAGGAGATCTCTAGTTCAACACCTTGCTTAAAGCAGCATCAGCTATGAGGTCAGCTTAGATTACTCAGGGCTTTATCTAGTCACATTTCAAAAACCTCCAAGAATAGAGGCAGCACACCCTTTCTGAGCAACCTGTTCCAGTGCTTGACTGTCCTCATGTGAAAAAGCTGCTCCTTACATCCATTCGGAACTGCTCATTTCAATTTATGCTTGTTGTCTCCCTGCTATGTACCACTGTGCTGTCTTTTTGAAGACCTCCTCCTA